AATAAGAAGAATGAATTTATATGAATGTCTTGAAGTAGATGATCAATGATATATAATTATATTATTTTAAAGGATTTAATTTTTGTATTTAATGGGATTATTATAATGAGAAATGGTAAAGTCTAATTTTTAGATATTTGGATTGGGGGAAGATGGATAATTATATATGAGTGTTGGTGTTAAAATAGTATATATATATTTTTTTAATTCGAGTTAAAGTTTTTTTTTATATAACTGATTGCTTTAGGGTGTGTTAGTTCTGGGAAGTCGGGGAGGGGAGGCGATTAGGGGGAAATTATAATTTGATGTATTTAATCATTATAGGTATATAATGGAATTGTATTAATAAGAGGATATACTCGGCTGGTACCCCAAGTTGCACTCGATGAGGTGGTTAAGAAGGCGAAGGGGATGTAGAGAGGTGGTAAGAAAAGGAGGAGAGGTTGTAGGTTTAGGGGGAGGAAGGAGAGGTAAAGTGTGAGGGTGGAGGCAAGGCGGGGACTGCCGAGTGTATCCGAAAATGTTTTGAGTATCTTTATTGTTTGTTAGTGTATATACATGCATCATTTGTATTTGTTGTTTTAATTGAAAAATTAATAAAAAATTTTATTAAAAAAAAAACTACTATGAATTGCATGGTCTAGATTACCATGTGTTCGAGGCCGCAGATATGCAATTTACACAATTATTTCTTGCATTATCCTGTTTAACTCAAGTAAGGAAGTGACAGTGGAGGCAGCTGTTGTCCACTGAGAGGCAACTTAAAATATTCCAGTAGGTATGGTAGTCTCTTGTGCTCCTGTACTTGGATTCAACCTAAAACCTTTCAAATATGTCTTGCAAATTATTTTGTCCAGCAGTGATTTTATCTTTGATACAGATTAATGTGTTTAGTATAATGCTAAATGAACAGATTCTGTTTATAACAGAATCAAAAATATTCTGCTAATTAGAGAAAAAATACATACCCTGCACGATGGCATCAGTAGCCACAAAAACCTTCTCCAGCTTGTACAACTTCAGGAGTTTGTGGATTTTCTTAACTGCTCCCCGAATGCTGGGCACATCACTTCTGTGACCCCAGATGAAGTCTTTTCGTCTGAGATGAACACCAAGATATGGGCCACCAATGGCTGTGCCCAGTTTTACCTAGCACATAAGAACCAGTACATGCTGAAACTGAAATAAAATGGCATTGATTCAGTAAGAATATATCTCCACTCATGAACATATTTTCTGTAACTCTGCTTAAGGATAAATTTGATATATTTAGTAAATGTGTATTTGGTAAAGCTTTCAATATTCATAAAGTGTCAATATACATATTGGGTTTGTAAATAAGTTCTTAATAATAGTTTCAACTAGGAAACTGTATATTGCTCCAAAATATATAAATATACATATTTAATAGAGAAATCCTTTATATTCTTTATCCTACGTACAACTGCGGACCTGCACCTCTTTCGCCGAGCCTTGAAAACCCATCTATTCCATGCGGCCAGCCTGGCGTAGTTTTGATTGTGTTTTGGTAGGGGTTTATATGGGGTATTTTAGAGCAGGCCTTTTATTTAATATTTATTGTGATTTTTATTATCGCCTGTTCACCGCCCTGAGTCCCTTAAGGGAGATAGGGCGGTATATAAATTTAAATAATAAAAATAAATAAATAAATCTACATGGAGAACAATTTCATACTTCAAGATTTTATGTGCATACAGCACGTGCACCTACTTTATCCTATGTATACATAATATATGTATATTATTTATTATGTAAACCACTTTTTAGTTGAGAAGTAGGGTAATGTAAAAATGTCACAATCAGTTGCTAGTAAGAAACCGCAAGTGATATTGGTGTCCACTCTTCAGCAATGCATGCACTTCTACCCAGCTATACTCTTATCAGTTAAGTGTGGTTGGGATGTGTTCAGATATGCTGTTTTTCATATACAGTCTTCAATGGTAACAAGCCTTTGATAGAAGAATGAGTCCTTCAGCATATGTGTGTATTTCCAGAGCTGAAAGCCATTCAGATTTGCAAGAATTCTATGTTTATGAATTCAGTGATATGTGCCACATTACTCAAAGTTAAGAAATTCTTATCAACAGAGTGATATCTTTTGAATCAAGGCTGTCTATCTGATTTCTTGTAAGCATTTATATGAACCCTTCTTGCAAGTACCTATCAGGTATGGGCATGTTTTTCTGCTTCCATAGATAATCCTAGTCTTGCATTCCATGGTCTTTTGAGTGAGGGCGCATTCTAACATTGCAGATCAATCATAGTTCAATTTCTTAATTGGTAACCAAATGAAAAATCTAGAGAAACTTGGCCATTGAAAAATATGGTACAGAGAGTCTTAAAAAAGGACTCTACTTACATATTCACAAAGTTGTATTACTTTCCTGAGGAAAATAGAAAAATGGTACTTAATCTTCACAGACATGAGAAAGTTATGGCACTTTTCCTTTCTAGTTTTGAATGCTGCCTTTATTTAATCTTGCTTGTGCCAAGCTAATCTTCTTTCCTCAGTCAGAAGAAGCATTCAATCTGTCTCTCTTACCATAAATATTTTTAAACAAGAATATAATTTTTAAGCATCTATTATTGGATAAACCTCATTTCAGAAGTTTAAAATGTTATTAAATAGATAAAATACTCTCTACTTTCCTTGTTGCAATTATAATTGCCACAGAACTGATAGCAGTCTGTTTTTCATATTTCATGATAACTTGTCCTTAAGTCAGATTCTTTTTTTATAAATAAAGTAAATACATAAAGGTATACATATAAAGTATACATATAGATACATCTATATCCTGTTTCAAAAGAAGAAAAGTTTATTTGGTTATCATAGGCAGACAGATTAAAGCCTACATTTACTTAGCCTAGGACAAGAATGGGAGGAATGGGCAATCTTTGATGCCTGGGATTAACGTTTTTTAAGTGACTGAAGGCCACTTGTAGGCAGTGGTGCTGCACGAGACTGAGATTTTCTGTCCCCACCACTGGAGGAGTATATTTTAAAACTCTATTTTAGGCCTTCTGCAACAATTTTGGTGCACTTTTCATCTCAAAACGGTAGGAAAGCATGCCACTAATGTTTGGTCATTACAGTTGGAAAACTCAAACAGGCTAAAAAAAGGGGGTTGACGATGTGTGTAAACCCAAGTACCCTGACTGTTCATCACATACTGCTTATTGTACCATTCACTTTCAGGGAGAGTGCATGTCTACAACAATAGGAATGATCTTTTGGTAAATACAGTGTTTCCCTGAAAATAAGCCCTAGCCTGATTTTTTGGGGTGGGCCTAATATAAGCCCTACCCCCAAAATAAGCCCTAGTTAAGACCCCGCTCACTCCATCCCAGTCTGCACCGGTACTGCCGCCACAAGTTGAGGCGAGGCAGGTGGGGAATGGAGCTGCCATCTCTGCCTCGCAGATCACCTTCCCGGTGGTGGCCACTGCTACCTCCTCCACCTGCCATTTCGGTCCTGCGGCACCACTTTGCGCCGCCTGGTCCCTGTTCGCTGTTTCAATGGTGGCAGCTCTGTAGGCCTGCAGCTCTGCATCGTCACTGGGCTGGCAGTTTAGGCCCCCGGCCACCTTTGCAGCTCTGCCCACAGAGCCACCAAAGCAGCAAGTGGAGCCCCGGAGGGTCGGGGAGGGTGCTGAAGCGAGTGGGCGTCCTGCCTGCAGTGCCCGTGCCAGCTGCCCCTTTCCTGCCACAGCCGGAATGCCACATTTCAGTAGATGCCGGCTTTCCCTCTGGCAGGCCTGGGCAACTGCTGGAGAGAGATGGGCCCGTTTCAGTGCCTGACGCCCTTGGGGGGGTTTGCCGTGCCACCTGCTTTCCAGCTCCATTTCATTTCTCTGCCACCGCGGAGCTGGAGAGCTTGCCCCACCACCCCCCAGGTGCCCTTGCTTCCCCCAAACATTTCTCTGCTAACCTGATTTCAATCTCCGTCATGGAGAAATGTGAAGGAGACGGAGAAACGTGACGGAGATGGAAAACAGGTCAGCAAAGAAATGTTTGAGGGAAACAAAGTGGTGCTTCTTACGGCAGAAAGCGCAGGAGCTGTAATCATGACCCAAAGCATGGCATGAAAGCTCGGGGAGGCGGCAGGAGTGCAAGGCGCTGCTGTTGCTCATGAACTGAAATGGGGCATCTGCTTGCAAACATGACTTTGGGGAGGGGAGGCTGCCGTGAGAGGGAGGGAGGGAGATCTCCTGCAGAGACGCCTCTTTGGAAAATCGGGAGCAGCAGCAGAGCGGAATTGCAGGAAGGTTCCTCCAAAGCTTTTTTTCAATCTTTTGCTGAACAGGAAAGATCCACATTCTGCATCAAGTAAACTTTAAAGAAAGTTAAATAATCTGGTAGCAAAAATCCAGCAGTGGCAAAACCTCCCTGGTCTCACGTATCTGCATCACCCGCTTCCTCCCGTGCCTTCACTTCGCTCAATTAATCACATGGCTAGAAGTGAGGTTTAGTAGGCTGAGCACAGAGGCAAAGACACGGGGGGAGGCGGGCAGTGCAGATTCCCCATACATGAGACTCGCTGCTGGGTCTTATTTTCAGGGAAACATGGTAACACATTAGTGTTGAATCATTGTTATTTTTTCATCAGATATTAGTCATATCTTACTCATAAATTCCAACTCCATACATCAACAAAAAAATCAAAGAAGGTATATGATCATTGAGGGTATAAATAAAACCACTGGACTTATTCCCTTTTCATTATTGAAGAAATAAGTAAAGAATCTTTGCCCACTGTCAGTTTTGCTGCTATTAAATTGCTAAGGGTCAGTTTTCAGGTTGCAGGTGATTCAGGATAGAAACGAGCCATGAGCCTCTTCGCCTTTTAACTATAATTCCTGACAGAATTTTATTATGATTTTTAAATTAAGTTTGACTTAATTATGTTTTTTTAAAATGTCTACTCCATTATATCACTGAAAAGGGCTGAGATACTTCCATAGAAATATAAACAATACTGAGAACATTTGGAGCAAGTAGAAGAAATATGTAGTATACTTTTCATCAATAACACATTCATCCAGTGCTCATTTTCTATGTTACAGTTTAAGCCATTTACCTGAATTTTAGTGACCACTGAACATAAAACAAAGGCCTGCAATATTGTTAAATTCAAAATCAATCTGTACATTACTTAAAATTACCTTCATATTTCTCCAATCTTCAGAGTACCATGTTCTGTCCTTTTCATCAGAAGAATTTAAATATTTAGCTCTAAACGTGTCTCCCACCACATGGAGGTGTTTGGCAAATACCATACTTCGACGAGTCTGTTCGACATAAACATGTTATTGAGAACTAGCTTACGTATTTCAGCATAATTACAAAGGTCTCCTAGAATACACAAAAATGAAACTGAAAGAAATAATTGTTTTATCAGTCAGGCTGATAGAATGTTAGTTTGTTGGTAAAAAAAAAAAAAGAATAGTGGTTTCATGTTAAATAATGGGGGACCAAACTTTTGGCTTGCCTGGGACACACTGAGTGAACAGGAATTGTTCTGATACATATAAAATATATACTATAGTTATTGTATATGAACCACATAATAATGTTCAAAGTTTACAATCTTCTGGGCCATATTACTACCTGTCCAGGGCTTCATGTGGCCCTTAGATCACGGGTTGGGCATGCCTGTGTTAAATTGTAATTCATTACATTAGCAGTTACAAATAAATACATTAATCTAAGAACAATTTAAACAACAAGCTTGCAGTGGGACATGTTTGGACAAATTAGAAGTTCTAACAATTGCTGAAGAAAAAGGATCTCCTTTCAGTGGAAACACTTCAATTTTTATGGAAATACTTAAAGGAATTAAATTGAAAATTCAGGTGTAGTATATATCTTCTGTTTATACAACACAAAGTTCTAATTAACAATAGCATTAGCAATAGCAATAGGACTTTGACTTATATACCACCACATAGTGCTTTACAGCACTCTGAGTGGTTTACATTGTCAGTTTATTGCTCCCAACAATCCAGGTCTTCATGTTGCCAACTGTGGAAGGATGGAAGTCTGAGTCAACCTTGAGCCTGTCAGGATCAAACTCCAGGCTGTGGCAGAGTTAGCCTACAATACTGCATTCTAACCACTATGCCACCAGGTTCTTGTGACACAAATGAAAGATGCATTGAATGCAGAATTCTAGAGATGTTTTCTTAAATGGATTTTAATTACATTTTAGCAGATATTCCTTGAATCCTTTAAAGTGATGGGTACATTTTAAATTTTGAAATTTTATGTACTATGAAATCAAATCAAATGATTACTACTGAGATATGGTCAGTTACAAGCAGCTGCTAAGGCTAATGCATAGCTAATCATAGAATGGGAGGAGTTGATTCTCATAAATAAAAATAATATTTAACAGATTGTGTATTAAAATGACTACTCCATTATTATGCAGATAATATAAATAAAATAATTATGTTATTCTCACATTCCAGTAGTCTTTGCCACCATAATGATCATGAAGAAGATGTTCAGCTCTGTCTAACATTACTGACCTATTAAAATGAGAAAACTAAGTAAGATAAAGATACATTAAGATAGATTTCCTCTGTGAGCTCCACAACTATTGACTATGTATCCATGGCATTTTCTTAATAACAGTATGAAAGTGGATTTACTTTTCCTTTGGTGGAATCTTTTTTTAACTTCCCAATCTAATCTACAGCCCTGTCACTTCCTACTCTCCCATCTAAATTGAATTCCAAATTGCTATTTTAAACTTTAACTTTAAACTTAAAATTAACTTACTTAACTTTAAACTGATAAGTAAAGTCTTTTAATAAATTTGAAATATTTACACCTTTTACTAACCAGAACCTACTTTCTAATTACTTATTAACTAACCTGCTTAACTTTTTAAGATTTCAACAAAAGTATACTATAATTAATATAAATTTCAAAACGTATTAAAGAAATAGGACAGCATACACCTATATACTACTAAAACTCTCATCATGATCTTTATCTGGGCAAAACAGGTTTTGAATGAAGTTACCTTAAATAGGCTAACTTACAGAATGTGTCCAAAATCCAGAACCCATGATTCCTTAGTGAATGATATACATGGCAATACCACTTACTTCAATATAATGTATTTCCTAGGTCAGAAACCCTCCAGATGATACTACATTTCCAAACACCCATTGCTTTCAGCCAGTAGAGTTAACAGTATGGAATGGTGGGCTTCTGAACTGAACATTACCATATAGCTAAATTCAACTGCTCTAAGAAAAACTATTTCTGATATTAACTACAATTTAAAACTCTAACAGTACACTTTTTCTCATTGTTAATGGAATTACAAATGGGAGTCAACTTTTGTTGCAGAATATAAAGTGTTCTTTATAAGTGCTCCAGAAGTTGTGGGTGCTCCGACACTGGAGGTTAAGAAGAGATTGGACAACCACTTGTCTGAAATGGTATAGGGTTTCCTGCCTGAGCAGGGGGTTGGACAAGAAGACCTCCAAAGTCCCTTTCCAGCTCTGTTATAACCATAAGAAAGATTCACAAATCCAAAAGATGCGCCCCAGCCCCAATTTCCAATTTATATTCTCTTCCCTTTACAGTAGTTGTAAATTGGGATAATAAATATCATCATTCATTTGATGAATGAGAAAACATACAATTCCCTACTTTCTTCTTCTAAGTTAAAATAATATGGCAAATATGTGGAATAAAAAAATTAATTCAGGAAGTCTCACCTGCTGGATAAATTCAAAAGCAAAGGGGCTACAACAGAGGCAGAACCTTGGACAGATAAACAAACTACCTTAAGGCCCCGAGTTTCTTCATAACCCCAGAACCATCCCCTATAAAAACAAGTTGAGTTAATAGATACATGAATACAAAGTAGTAATAAATCTGAAATAAATCTTGATGATAGCTCAATTTAAGTTGATAGTCTAATTTCATTTTAAAATTACCATTCATTCTCTGAAAACAGTACAAATTTGGATCCTCTGAGGAGAAGTGGGTTCCTATTTCTAGGAAACACACATGAACCACATTTTTTTAATATTCCTTTTTGGTTTTGCATATATTACTCTGTCCATCAGTCCCTGATTTTTTGTAGATAAAACTGCTGCTACCCATTTCCCATGGATTTTTTCCCCTTTTTTCTAACTCATTAAGGCAATTAGATGGAAGATGACTACACTGAGGAAAGATGCTTATGTAAAGAAAATTGTATATTAAAAAGTCAAATTTAAGTAAATAACTAGTCTCACTTTCATTTTGCTTTCTGATGTGATCATGGCAGAAAAACTCTTTTGGCTTCCAAATAGACAAAGTGGAGAAGGCCAGGTGATAAGAGAAAAAGAAGGCTGCAATTTGTGGAACATGGATGCTCGGTAGGAGAGTCTGTAAATTGGGCTGAAATTTTATTTTTTCAGTTTTTGGAATGAATTTTTAAAAGCTGTATTAAGTTTGTTTTAAGGTTAATAGTTTCACATGTTTCCTATCACAAAATAACAGAGAATCATGTTTCACAATTAAATTACCATGATTTATCTATCAATATAAGAAGATGAGGACTTTTAACACCCTAATAGCTTAGAGCAGGGTTGTCAAATTTCCAGCCTGTAGGCCGGACACGTCACGTGGAAGCCGCGCCCACCCCATTGCCAGCAATGGCAAAACTGTCCCGATACGTTGCGCAACGTCATGTGATGTCGCGAGTTTGATATGTCTGGCCTAAAGGCTAGGTAATTCGTACACATCCTCACATCCATCCCTTCATGTTGCTCTGCTTGTTCTGTGGCTCTAGGCCCTGCTGGCTGAGATTTTGGAATTAGAAGTTCATCTTCTCAGTTATGATGCTTTCATTTTGATATGTCTTTTAAGGAGAGTGATTGTAAGTATCACTTGAATTTTGACTTTAGTTGTACTATACCTATCCCAAGAGGCCAATTTTCAATTTTGAAACGTTTTTCTCCCTTTTTCCCAAATACTTCCCTCCTCCCCAGAAAACATGGTTGGAAATAATTTTTAGCTAGAGACTATGTTAACATAACAATATAAAGATTAGTATACCTGTAATATTTATCTTTATCTGTTGAATACATATGCTGGTCAATACATGGTCTCTCCTCAATCTTCTCCTCCCATGTCCCCTCTTTCCATCCTTCAGCATAGTTTTGCAGGACATATATCTCATCAATAAAAGGACCACCTGACTCTGAGTGACAATTCAACATAAATCAATACACAAATATAAGCATATATCTTGTTACACATAATAGATGTACAATGAAATGGAGTCTATGTATGTTTAAGGGGAGAGCCGAATAACTTAGATCAGAAAGAAAATTGCAAAGTGTTTGAACAGTTAATAAAATTGTATTCTCTCTCTCTCCCCCCCCACAAATGTAATAACAAGCCCGTAACTACTAAATTCATGAACTTTGCTTGCAATCATTGTGCTTTTCAACAGTGAAAATATATACCAAAAAGTTTTAAATGGGGAATGCATATGATTTACTGAAAAACTTAAAAGATGTGCATTAGAGTTTAAATGTTGAAATAGTATCTTAATACACCTCACCTATCTTAATGCATAGAAAAAGCCAAATGAAACTACACTAAGATTTCATATCATACCGGTTCTTCTAAAGCATATGTTACCTGCAAGAAATTGTTCATACTCAATAACATGTATGTTTTTATTGAGGCTTGGAACATCAAAAAAATCGGACCAAGGAATTTGGACTTGATGAATTTTAGGAGTTTGCCAATGATAAAGACGTCCCCAAGGAGGCAGAACCAACACCCATGCCTCAGTCTTCAATAAGGTCTTCAGAAGAGATGCAATTCGTATGTATACATCTCTACGTAGATTGAAACCTTCAGGTGGATTAACATCATACAAAAGGTACCTAGAGAAAAGAAATATTACAAATAAACAGTTAAACTATGATTTATAATCATTTCAATGTTAAAGCAGAGAAAAAACCAAGCAGCCATATTTTTGGAAGGATTCTGAATTCAGACATTTGGAAAAATTAACCTGGAGGGCAAAGATTCACTTCCGTTCCCTTCTGCGGGCTTTTCTCTCCTCTCTCATTCTCATTGGAATTAATTCTAAAAGTACCAGACAGTTCTGCATATTTTGTCAAAGCAAGAATATTCAATATTAGCAGCGTTGACATCCGCCCCCCCTTACAAAAAGGACAGATCCTGTAATGTAAACAAAAGCATATGTTAATGACTAGTTCTCGGTTTGTTGGGGTATTTTGCATGAAACTTTTTTTTTTTTTAATTTTTTTTTTAAATTTAAATTTATATCCCGCCCTTCTCCTTACGGACTCAGGGCGGCTAACAACCGGATAAAAATACAAAAATAACACACTACAAGTTTAAAAATTGATTAAAAGGGAAATATTAGTAATTTGGTCTAATTAAAATTATAATTAAAACCCCCTCTAAAAGTTTCCCCTAGGCCAGTCCCGCAAACTGGAATAACCATGTCTTAAGGGCGCGGCGGAAGGGAGATCAGGGATCACCCTGATCTCTGGGGGCAGTTCATTCCAGAGGGTGGGAGCTCCCACAGAGAAGGCCCTCCCCCTTGGGGTCGCCAGCCGGCACTGTCTGGCTGACGGCACCCTGAGGAGACCCACTCTGTGGGAGCGTACAGGTCGATGGGGGGTAATCTGCGGCAGGAGGCGGTCTCGAAGATATCCG